GTCAGGAGGCATGAGTTTGACAGTTTTTATTGCCTGGGGTTTTTTGCAGGAGGAGGAAGCTCCAGGTAGAGGAGGGGGAACCTTGAAGAATTCCTCTCCCTGCAAAAATTGGAATTTCTGTAGGCGGCAGTAATTATCGCATAACATGCATCCCTTCACTGGATGAGACCCTGTTTTACTCCGCAGAATGGAGCTTCAACCAGTTGTGTAAAATCACGTGACTCCGGAGTAACCATCACCCTGCTACCGTAATCCCACACCTGCAGTCCGTTGCTGCGCGTGTTTCTCTTTAGCCTTGAACAGTGAGTGACTTAGAGTTTGAAAATGATCTCTAAGTTCTTGGAAACGGAGAGTAAGGCTGGAATGCTCCAGAGAGGTCCTTCGTGTCCTTAGATATCTGCCTTATTCAGGAAAATGTGCTAGAAACACCATTCCACCCACCGTAGCTCAACCAATGGCCAGATCTCTAGCCCGTCTAATTAAATTATGGCCAGATCTAGCCAGACTTTGAAGCACGCAGCAAGGGGAAAATTTATTGGAACAAAGTCATGAAAAGGGGAAATAACAGCTAATGGTCAGCACCCTGGGTCATATCTAGTCAAAGATGGCTACAAGAGCAGGGGGTAGGGAGGGGGGGGGGTACTTCTGGTTGAAAAAATTTCCCAGAAACGTTAATTTTCACGCTGCCTACTTTTTTGTTTGCGAAACTCCTTAGCACATCTATTTCACTAATTTTCAACTACCGTAATTCAAAATTGCCGACAATGAAGCTTCTCTTATGCAGCTTCTTTCAATAGTTTACAAAAGAGATTACAGTGGCAAAAAATCACCTGATTCTCAAACAAGCTTGACAGTACCGTAACCTAATGGAGCGTCTTTAGAGTGCCCAAAAACGAACCGGAGTCGTATGTGTGAACTGTAACACGAACACAACGACACTGTGGAGGCGAAACGGTGGTGGTGAACCGGTCTGTAACGCCTGTGGACTCTACTACAAGCTGCATCAGGTAAGATGCTAGACCTTATGACCCACCAAGGCAAAATTATTAGTTGAAACTATTGCAAAATTGTTGCTGCTCCTATCGGCGCAGTATTTGTCCTATATTCACATTTTTTGAGGGCCATTTCACGCCACATATTTCGAAGAGACAGCGGTAGAACTCGTCACGACAGTAGTATTCTGTTAATTGTAATTATAAATCTTCAAAATTATTATATTCGAAAAGAAGTCTTCGAAAGTACTGAAGAACTCACTCAAATATTATAAATTGCTACCTCCCACCATTTTCAATGTTCGCCAGTTCTTCTGAGCTCCTTTTTTTGGCCAGTTAGCAAAGAATTGATTATAAAAATGATTATGCCCAAAACGGAGCGCCTATTCACTTTTAACATAGCTTACCATTTGGACCATTCGAAGGGCTTCGTTACCCATCAGGTGAAGAATCGTTTCTTATAAGCAACGGTACCTGTGTGCAAGACTTAAGGACGAACGTAGCTTTTCCAACGACGTGTTACTGGCGCGTAACATGACTCTATGGAACCTAACCACACATACAAAGAGCTGCCACAGGGCACTAAAGAAAGCAGTTTAACAGGAACCGTTAAACGGTCCACAAAGCTATCAAAAGGTTATGATACTTCATCTATCTCGTCCTTAAGTTTTGCACACCAGTGTAAAATATTTAGCCAGCCGTCATGTCATGGGGAGAGAAGGCGAAACTCATGCAGCCACCGGAAATTACTTGGGAATGGCTAGCGGATGCCTGTGAAAGGGTCCTGAGCCAGATTCTTTTCTCCTTGGCGTTCCTCCGCTGTCCTGTGCTCAGTCCTAGATCGTGGTTTCTGAATGCTCGGTGTTGAATGTCCCCACTAAGGCCATGAGCGCCCATTAAACTAATTATTAAAATTAATTAATTAATGATTCTAGCAGTTTTCCTTCCTTCTGAGAATATCCCGTCATTCCTTTGCCTTTTTTCGAGGTCTTCTAGTGGTTAATATGTAGGCGTCCGAACATTCCTCACTAGAAAGGTAATCCGAGGGCCGAGGGCCAATAAGCACCTGTCCGGTACCGTAACCGAAACCGTTCTCCTCATGCATCCGGGGTCAGGTCAATTGGTGAGAAGGTGGTTTTGATTTGTGACGCGATTTACCACCACGCTTACGTACAGCAAACGGTATGCCGCCATTTAGGAGTTATGCTATGAGATCGGTCCGAGTGATAAGCGCCAGCCTTTAGACAGGGAACGAATCCGCCGCCGCCTAAACGGCAATGCCGACGCGCGTCAAACACCTGTGTGACAAGGCGATTTTTGCCTTTTTGAGTTGGCGACAAGTTGCCCATATGTGTGTGTGTTTCAGGTGGAGAGACCGTTGACAATGAAGAAAGACGGTATCCAGACACGAAATCGGAAAATGTCCACCGAAAGGCAAGAAACCCAAGGTTGGTCCAGTCGACGGCTTCCTTTATTGTTTCACACAGAGCTCTGTCGAATGAGCTGGCCCCTCACGAACAAGGCTTAGGGGCAGCTCTGTCGCATGGGCTGGTTCCTTAGGGGCAGGACAAACTTCTGTAGCATTTTTTGGCGATTTAGCAGGATTGGATGATCCAGTGCTACCAGATTAAGAAAATGGCTCTTTCGGGCATGATGAGCCATCCTAGCGAATTCCTCGAGAGGGACGTGGTAGTTGGCACTTTGAAGGGGGTTTATACTGGATGTAATGGACAGTACAGTTCTATACGAGGGAAGTACAATGTTTCTAGGTGTATTGATAGTTAGTAATATGTTGAGTTGTTGTCTGAGTTTTCGTAAACGCACGCGCTATGAAGTTTTCTCTTGTATGTTGCTCTGGCAGTTCTCCAATTCCCGGCACGGATATGTTTTGGATAAGTATGCAAGCTCGTCATATTGGGCTGAGAGGAGATCAGATAGAAATTAGCAAGCGAATTCAACTGGCAGAAACATAATGCGCCGGCATTCTGTGGCCCCTACAAAGGTGTAAAAAGGGAAAGGTTTCAGCATATTCCTCCAACACTTGGCTCAACCTCGGTCTGGATGCAATAACCCTCCCCTCATGTCAATTGGGTAAAGCAGTAGTATCTTTTTGCCATTTCGCATGTGGTTTTAAGCCATTTGGGTAGGGTCCTGGAGTGCAACGTAAATGCTGGAAAGGGCCAAGCCACTCTTCTGAATGGTCTGGTGACCTACGTGATTTTCGGTCAGTATACCCACAAGCTTATGAGGAACCATGGCTCATGGAATAGAGCCTTTATGAATATAGAACTCAAACTTCGCCAAGCTCGAGAAAACCTCAGATCTGATCGGAATGATTGCATTTTCATGTAACTTGTTTAACAATATTGACCAGGCAACCTGGTACGACCCAATGCAGAAGCTTGACTGATGTCCCTTGAGGATTTGCGCCATCATCGCGCGTTCCTGGAGATCTGGAATCGGAGCCTGCAACTAAAGACTAAAGCCTGTTTTATTTTTTGTGTTGAATGCTGGACGACATTTCCCAGAAGGTTATTCTAAGCACCACGCATTTCTTTAAACTTACATAAGAGATCCTAACCAAAGCGCTCATTGGCCCTAATTTTGAACTTTTACTGTCTACCCATTGTGGCCATTTAAGCTAAGGAGTGTCACTAAAGCTCTGCGCTGGTTTTGCCAGAAAGTCAGAAGGTCAATGAACTCAGAATAGTGTGTAGAAAATCGTATAACTTCGTATAATGGCTGTGTTGACGCAGGTCGGCCAAATGTGCAACTTTTCACGCCATCATTTTTCCCGGATGCCATAAACCTTGCCTGCTTTCAGACCGAAGAGCCGAACACGTGGGGCAGTATGAAGACGGCGCCGATGTATGATATGAAGCTGATGCCGACGCCGTACTTCCCCAGTCAGTCGGCTTACTCGACAGGACTGTTCTTTCAGCAATAGTTCACTATAACATGCTGATAGTGTCCTGCACACTTACAGTACCTGTACGTACTTGTTGCTACCGTATTCACTTTTCTGCCTGAATTCCACCCCGTGCCTATAATTCTCTTGCCTACATTTATACCGTTTCCAACACGATACTCCATCTACATTCTATAGAGTTGTGATTGTGTGTGTGGTCAAACGACGTTGAGATTCGATCGATTCTTCCATTGTCACTGAGCTTAACCAGATCAATAATCGATTGAATACCAGCGTAGTACTCATATCTTCATCGTGGTTGCACCAGGTTCACCATGGAAGCATGGTCGCCTGGGCATACCACGTGGGCGGCTGCCACAAGTGCTGTTCTCCTTGTACAGTATGATTTCTATTTATTGATTGATATCGATTGTGTAATAAGCGTTTTTTCTCGTTCTCCTCCTCCTCCTCCACCTTCACATATAGGTCGACCTTGGGTATTTGAGAAAGCATTTAGTGTCACATTAACGCTAAATAACGGCACAATACGGTGCAATAGAATATTTTCTAGTACATTTACATATTGATTTCCCCACATCCACCCTTTGCCAAACCCCCGCCCACCACCTGAGATAATCTTTCACCGCGCCTCCAAAGTTATCATCTACAAATGATTGTGATCGTTCTTCTTTTTCTTTACTTTGACTTTACTTAACTCGATGAACATCGAAAGAACTTGATGATGATGTCGTGATCTACTTCTACTTGAGATTGTTTATTTTTAATAAATTAATTTATAATTAGCTTCTATGAATAGTCAGTGGTCCCAAAGCTGAGGCAAGAAGCTGAAAATATTGAATCTATTGGGAGTTAGCTAAAACCTGATCATGTAGCCAATATCGTGGTTCATGCTGAAACTGAGATAAGCCGTGCGCCTGAACTTACCCCAAAATAAAGCGGGTGATTGATTAGCAACGGGAAATCGACAACAGGAAGAACTCAGGCCTGATTCTTAGTGTGAATGTGTGAGGCAGGCGTCTGGACTTCCTCTAACCTCAGGTTCACCACAACGGCATGGTCGCCTGGAAACCCCGCGTAGACAAAAGTGCTGTTTCTCGGGTTTTCAGTGTGGCCTTCTTTATCCCAGATGACAGAAATGATAGGAAGGGCTGGGGAGACACACTAGCTGTGACCCGCTCTAGATTTAGTGATGCCGCCACATTTGACTTCCCTTCATAAACCTCATAGGTTGAAAAGAGTACGGCCCCTAATGGAATTTGAGAAGGACGAATCGTCTGACCAAACAAAGCAGTAAATCGACGCTTTCAGCCTTCAGTTTGTCCAAAAACCCAGCCTAGACAAACAGTACGGTAGTTTTGCTAACCTCAAAGGCCTTTAGAATAACAGATCCTGACTGAAAATAGAGCCCCCATCTTTGAGACTAGCCTAAGGGTTCCACAAAAATCAAACGACACGCGGCAATACAGTACTCCTTCTAAGAAGGTATTTCTCAGCGATAACGTGTTTCTTGTCCATGTGTCTCCCAGCCTAGAGGAAGCCGATGAAAAACTGTTCATGGTCCCGGAAAGTTCATGCGCTATTGACGAGTTTTTCAGCGCTCATTCGGTGAGGAAAAACACGCGAAGCATTATCGTGAAATGTTTGGGCCGGTGTGCGAGTGTGAAAAAACGCGAGAGACGCGTCTCGATCGAATGAAGACGATTGTGCCTCGGCTGGCTGACAACAGAGTATTAACGACCGGGGAAAAGCGACAATAATCGCACGCTCGAAAAAGCATAGCGGCCAATCACCTGTAGATATACAGCCACTTTCGATGCAAGCGAATTTATTCACGTGGACCACATTCGCCTGTTGCAATAGTTTCCATGGTTATTGTCAGTGACTTCTCGATACAGGGAAATATCGTGGTCACTATGACTAGTTATGCCGAATTACGCAGATGGTGCACAGAAAAAGCCTGGCAGAACAATAGCAGTTTCGAGCCGCTACCGACATAACACTCGCTCGGAGATATGAATCCACAAAGCACTGTACGCGCTCTAGATCCCATTTTACAGTGCGCCGCGCCTTCGACATCTCCACTAATGAATGCCAACACTAACAAAGCAATTATTCGCGGAGTCTGCCGCTAGTGAACTCAAACATGTCCATTTGCTGACAATTTTGGAACTCATGAGTCGACTTAGGAGGGTGAGATCTATATTATATGGATTCGAAACTACTCGCCATTCCCTTTGGCTATAGGCTTTTCTAATTTTGTTAATTATTTTTGAGGCTTTTGATGCCAAAGTCCACAGTATCTTGACACTTGTACAGTTGTTCCAGCATGGAGGCTAACACGCAAAACAAAGAACAGCTTCCCCCGTAACCGCTTTTTATGGTATATATATTGTTGTCTCCTAAGTTTTCTGGAACTCAAACTTCCTGGCGGGACCCACAAATTGGTAAACGTTTAGGACATCTGATTTTAGGTTCAGCTTGTACCCTTGTAGTGTCGGTAGTCTTCTCTGCTCTCTGGGCAGGGTATCAGTGATAGCGGTGGCTCAACGGTTTGGGGGGCCCCCGCCCACAGAACGAAGGCGTAACAGCTAATGGGAATCTATCGTAATGACATCCCGCATCTCGATATTGGATAGTGGCCAGGTGTTGGCATTTAACGATGCTGTAGTTCACTATGAAGCAATACATACAGTCGATATCCGAAAGTTGGGGTGGGTGTGTCACCGGAAGTGACGTGCACTTGATAGAAGTGCGTGGATAAGCTGTTGCCAGCATGCTTTGCTGATATCCAGCGATGTATGTTGGAAGCAGCTTATCCACATAGCTTCTATCAAGTGCACGTCACTTCCGGTGACACGCCTACCCCAACTTTCGGATATCGAGTATAAAAGACTTCCATATTGATAAGTGCAATAGATGGTTTGGATGTCACAGTTGTTGTGATAATCAGCGAAAGTGGAACAGTAAATAGCGTAAGTGATTCGCTGATAATTTGGGACCACTCTAATCTCTGATCCAAGACGACGCTAACCATAGGTTGTGCGATGGCAGTAGTTATCAGTGCCTATACTCTGATCAAGCTAGGACATCCGGTCCAATAGCATAGGACGAGAAAAACTGATCGGAGGCTGCACACACGTGATCTGGTATTATGTTCCTGGAGGAAAGCCACCATTCCGGTCTGCCGCAGCACTTCCGGTTTTCAACCAACTGCTGGGTGGAAGGAGGGCCTTACCCAATCGCGGCGAACATATTGAACAATCGGTTTCTCATTTTATTCATGAATTTGCAGTTCCTCGGCCGACTTCTCTTTTTATAGTTTCTCTTCAAATTTTCTATTTACTATGTGCCTATGAGCTCCCCATGGTCTTCTGCCAGGAAGAATCTAAAAAAAACTTCCCTCGAATCAATCATAGTTGACGAGACCCTCGGAGTGAGTGTTCATAAATCGTTCTGGGATGGGATTTCGCCTGCCGCCCGCCACGTCTCGCCGCCATCGCCACAGCCAACAGTTGTCCTCAACATATCTTCGACGAATCTACCTCACAATTATTTTCGAATAAAAAACTCGAGCGCTCATCGCCTGATAAATCTACGCGTATGATTTACGTCGTGGACAACTGTCACGACAGTCCTCCGTGTCCTTCATCCTTTAGGATGAACACAGCCCATTTTAGGAAAAGTTCCACAATAACATATCAG